ACCTCTATACCTATCCAAAGAATATATTAATATTAAAAAGATGAAGACTAAAGAGATGGCTCAGTGGTTAAGAGAACTAGCTGCTCTTCCAGAGGACCCAGGTTTAATTCCCAATACCTATGTGGCAGCTCTAATTCCAGTTCTAGGAATTCAACACCCTCTTCTGGCCTCTGCACACTAGAAACACACACGGGGCACAGAAATACATGCCTAAAAAACAGACATAAATATAAAATTTATTAAAAAAAAAAAAAAACAACAACAAAGCCAGGTGTGGTGACACAGTTCAGTTCTTAGCGCCCACATCAGGTAGTTCCCAACTGCCTGGAACTCCAGCTCCAGGAGATCTGATGCCCTCTCTGACCTCCAAGACACTTGTATGTACTCAAGCACAAACCTACACACTGAGATATTCATAATTAAACAAATAACCTAGCTGGGTGGTGGTAGAGCACACCTTTAATCCCAGCACTTGAGAGGCAGAGAAGGTGCGTCTCTGAATTCCAGGCCAGCCTGGTCTACAGCGTAAGTTCTAGGACAGTCAGGGCTACACAGAGAAACCCTGTCTTGAAAAATCAAACTAACTAAACAAAAACCTTCATGTCAGAAAGCTGTTTATTTCTAGGTTCTACCTTGCTTTCCTGGATGCTGTCCATATTTCAAGTACTACTCTAAGACTATATATGAACTTGCCCTTTCTTTAAAAAAAAAAAAAAAAAAAAGGCAGATTTTTACCTGTGTGTGAGGTCCTGTGTTAAGACTCTTGAGCTACAAGCTGCAATAGTGAGATGGGAGCCAGATGAGACTTTTGTTTTCAAAAAGAGATAATAAGACAAAGGCCAGTTCAAAACTAATGTAAGGGTCTAAGGCTGTAGCTCGGAGGTGGAGTGCTTGCCTAGCACACCAAAGGAAGGGTCAGGATTCCATCCACATAACCAGGAGGTGCTGGGGATCCATAGGTGTGTTAGCCTGCTACAAAGTGAAACACTGTGTCAAAGAAACAGACGCGGGGTGGGGGGGGAAGGAAGGGGGGCTGATGGCACTTGTTGCTCTTGCATGGGTCCAGTACTCACCACCGACACAGCAGCTCACAACTGTCTGTAGTTCCATTTCCCGAGGATTCAGTGCCCTCATCTGTCTTTTGTCGGTATCAGGCACACAAATTATATGCAGATATATCCAGGTGAAACACCCATCATATTTAAAAAAAAAAAAAAAAAAAAAAAAAGACTGGTGGGATGGTTCAGTGGGTAAAGGCACTTGCCTGATGGCTTGAGTTGGATCCCTGAGAACCAGTTTCTGCAATTTGTCCTCTGACCTCTGTGTTCAAGCACACAAATACAAATAAACAGGGCCTGGAAAGATGGCTCAGTGGATAAGAGCACTTGCTGTTGTTCTTGCAAAGGACCCTGGTTCGATTCCCAGCACCCACATGACAACTTGGTTACCTGAAACTTCACTTCCAAGGGGATCTGACATGCTCTTTTGGCCTCTGCATACCAGGCCTGGTATATAAACATACATGTGGGAAAAAAAACTTATAAAAATAAAATAATATTTTAAAAGTAACTAATAAATAATATGAGAAAACTAAGATACAAAGAGGATGTAAATAGATTATCAGACTATCAAGCTACTAGATCCAGAGTATAAAATAAAATAAAGGACCATATTAGATAAGGTGTCTGAGAAACCTTCTGAGGACATGCGAATTGATTCCTAATAGTGAGAATGAGGCAGCAAGTCATTACCTTCTATGCAAAAGGAGCAGCAAGTGCACAGCCCTAAAGCAGGACTCGGGCTTGTGTGCCGAAAGAGAAATAAAAAGGCAGCAAGGCTGTGAGTAGTGACAGGAAGGGACTGGAAGATGAGGCCAGTGAGGTGACCTGGGGCCAGAAAGGGCCTCTTGAACCACAGTAAAGATCTTAGGTTTCATTCTAAGCAGGATAAGCCTTTGAAGGTTTTAAGCAGAATAATAACATGGTCTGGTTTATATCTGAAGATCATTTAGCTAGCTGTACCAAGAATGAAATACAGATGACTTTCTTCATAAGCATCCGACTACTGTGGCTGATGAGTTTTTCTGGGATATGAAGAAGATGGGGCTGAGGATAAAGTAATCTACAATGGAAAGGAGAGAAACAAATTTGGCTTGTGTCTAGGAAATGGATGGCAACCTCATCATTAAATTGATTTTATTTTTTGAGATAAGGCATTACTATATAGTGCATGCTGGCCTCAAATCTGTGTACAATCCTATCTTATCCTTCCAAGTGCCTGACTACTTTATTTCAGTTCTGGGCATGGAAAACTTTTTTTTTTTTTTGGAGACAGGGTTTCTCTGTGTAGCCCTGGCTGTCCTAGAACGAGCCCAGGCTGGTCTCGAACACAGAGGTCTGCCTGCCTCTGCCTCCTTGGTGCTGGGATTAAAGGTGTGTGCCACCAACTACTAACAGGCAGGAGGGCTTTTAAGTACGTGGGCATCTTCATTTACTTTTCTGTTGCTGGGAAACACCACAATGAAGGCAGTTTCTGAAAGAAAGAGTTTAACTTGGTTTAGGGTTTCAGAGGGTTGGAGTCCATGATGGTGGGAACAAAGGCATGGTGGAAGATCAGCTGAGAGATCACATTTTGCCTGCCAGTCTTCTGAGACCTCAAAAAGCTGGCCCCCAAGTGACACAACTCCTCCCACAAGGCCACACCTCCAATTCTTTCCTGAACAGTTCCTCCAGCTGGAGACCAAGCATTCAAACATGCAAGCCTATGAGGGCCATTTTCATTTGAACTATCACAGTGGGGAAGTTGGGATTGAAGTTCATGAACATACTTTTTTCTTTTTCTTTTTTGGGGGGTAGGGGTGTCCTGCTGTGTAGCTTTGGCTGCCTGGAACTCACTATGTCAGGGGTTGCTCAAACTCGCAGAGATCCTTCTTGAGTACTCTTGAGTACTGAGATTAAAGGAGTGTGCCACCATGCCCAACTGTTTTTCTAAAGATTCGTTTATTTTTGTGTCCTGGAGAGTATTTTGCTTGCCTCATTTGCATGCGTGACACATGGCTGCTGAGTGCACATGATGAGTCAGGGCTTTGGAGCCCCTGGAACTGAAGTATGGATGGTTGTGAACAGTGATGTCATGTGGGTGCTGAGAACCAACTCTGTGAGAGCAGTATGTGTTCTGTTCTTTTTGTTTTATTTTTTCTGAGACAGTGTCTCTCTATGTAGCCATGGCTGGCCTTGAACTTCTGCCTTGTCTCCCAAGTGCTGAAATTTCTGGCTTACATTAAAAAAAAAAAAAAAAAAAAAAATCTACTTATTCTGTATGCAATGTTGTCTGCCTGTACACCTACAGGCCAGAAGAGGGCACCAGATCTTATTAACAGTGATTATGAGCCACCATGTGGTTGCTGGGAATTGAACTCATGATCTTTAGAAGTAGCCAGTGCTCTGAACCTCTGAGCCATCTCCCCAGCTCCCTCTAGCTTACACTTTCAACCATAAATTTTGTGGAATATAAAAGGCCGGATGCCTCTTTCAAACCAAAATGGACATTCCCATATCAGGTCACAGATGCACTTGAAATGTGAAACACGGAAGTCCAAACACTTCTCACTGAATAAAAGGATACAGGATAGCTCATTAGTATTTTTATAGTGATTATGTTTGAAATCAGCACTTTGTTTTATTGAGTTAAAATTAGATTGCTTCTTGGCCTTTTTGTGCTGGTCAAGTGTGAAAACTAATTTATCTGTTTACTTCCCCAAACTTGATTTGCTGACCACGCTGACTTCGAACTCACAGGAGCCTAACAGAAGTCTGCCTAAGTCTGATTCCCGAGTGCTGGGATTAATGATATACACCTACCACTTCCGATGTTTTGTTTGTCCGCTTTTTTTTTTTTTTTAACATTTAAAAGATGTAATTGGTAAAAGGTCTGGGACTCATGTTATTTCCCACTGATTGTGTTAACAGACTATGTCAGGATATGGTCAGGAAGTTGTGGAAGATACGTTTCGATTGCATTATATTGTTATAAATAGTGGCAGGTTTTTTGTTTTGTTTTGGTTTGCCTTGGTTTTTCGAGACAGGGTAGCTTTGTGTAGCCTGACTGTCCTGGTACGCACTGTTAAAGCAGGCTGGTCTTGAACTCAGAGACCCGCCTGCCTTTGCCTCCCGTGTGTACTCCATCAGGCCCGGCCCGAACAGTGAATTTTCAACGGGCTGGAAAACGGGGTGCAGAGGAAGGATTCAAACGAACTAGTACTTCTTTCGGACTGGTACGCGATCCTGCATCTCCCTCACCACCGCGCCATCTTGTCTCAGGGGTGAGACAAATGTTCACAATGGTCTCCTCGACTACTAAGCTTCAAATCCAGGAACCCTTCAGGGTAGCTCCGGGAAACGCTCACCTGCTAACAGCCACCTTTCCTCCTTATGCTTTTCACTGTGAGGGCACAGCTCTCTGGCCCAGCCTTCCTCAAGCCCAGCCACATTAGCCAATCACATTTTAGGAAGCTGTTTGAGCCCCGCCCTCTGGCCACTTGTCAATCACTGTGAGAGCAAGTACCGGCCTTTCTGCGCGCTTTGGTTAGAGTCGCGCGCCACCGTTCGACCGTTGGCGGCGCTGCTCTCTCTGCGGTGCCTCTACCGGAAAAGCTGAACGAGGGGCGGGTCAGGCTGGTGCGGTAAAGCTTGGGATTGGACAAGAGAAGTTCCGCGCTCTAACTCCTCCCACCCCGGGGCAAGATATTCGAGTCGGAGACGCTAGGGATTGGTTCCCGGTCGACATTTGACGTAGCTAAGAGATTATCGTTCCGCCTCCTGTGGCCCGTGAGGAGGGAGCTTCTTTGATTGGTCTGAGGGTCGAGGCGCGCGCCGGAAGACGCCCCAGGATTGGCTGACGAGGCTCTCGTGCCGTCACAGATTCTTAGCGACGATTGGCTGGAGGGCTGAGCCGGCTATTTGAAGGCTGCGCGCGGCCTGGAGAAGCTCTTTAGGGACAAGAGTTGGGAGTCACTGCGGGGCCTCTGCCTTGCCGAGTGTCTCCTCCCCCGTCGCAGGTCGCTGAAGAAGGCTCCTCTGCAGCTGCGGCCCGTTGGCGAGATTATGGCCAAGGTGTCGGTGCTGAATGTGGCTGTGCTGGAGAACCCGAGCCCTTTCCACAGCCCCTTCCGGTTCGAGATCAGCTTCGAATGCAGTGAGGCCCTGTCTGATGGTGAGGCTGGGCCTGTGCAGGGAACCCTAAACCCTTTTGCCACCCCCAATCTCCCCGGAACCTCTCCCCTTGGCCAACTGAATCTCCCATTGGTGATACGCCGCCATGGCCCCTACTCCGACTTCTTGATCAATATGACCCTGTGCACAGTACCCTGCACTGTCTCGTGGAGGCCTCGTCACCCCTCATCCTGCACCGTTCATCCTTGGCCCGTTTTCCTTGTAGAGGTGTCAGCCTCCATTTAACCCGTGGAGAGCCGCAGCCACGCCTTTTTCTCTATGGCTAAACCCAAGTTTCATGCCGGTTTCCCCATAGGAAACCTTCCATCTAGCTTCCTTATGGAAACTCAACCTTCGTTACCGTCCTCCCATTTTTTCTTGTGGGCATCTTTTTCTCCAACCTGCTAGACCCTCCTCTTTTGTGACCCTGCCCACCCATAGGGAGAGATGGGGCCTTCTGCCTCTAGTCTTTGTAGGTAATTTGGTCTCTTCAGTTCCTGTTCTGGGATTGAATGAACACTCAGGTAAGGGTACCACAGCCAGGCAGGCCTCTACTAGTTTCTGAGATTTCTGCCAGCTTCCAGCTAACTCTGTGCATGGAATCCCTGTCTCTTTTCATGTGCTGACCTAATCTGGGGAGTGGGTGGACTGGCCAAATAGGGATGGGATGCAACTGCAGTCAGCTGGGAGGTCACTGGCTTTTGTGAATCCTTGACAGAGTGACTTAATTCATATGGAGATGTAAAGGTGGCCATGGGTCTCATCTCACACATGAGAGGGCAAGAGCCATAAAGAGCTAAAGACCTTTCAAATAAACCTGTGAACATGTAAAATGTGAGGTCACTTTGGCATCTCAGCTACACAGCAAGGTAAGTCCTCCATGAGACCATTTCTCTACTGAGGATTGAAAAGGATGTAGCAGCTGAGGAGGTGGAGCTCTGAGAGGCTAGGTTGTAGCAACTAGTGCCTCTTGGTGGCTGTTGGGTGGTGTTCAAGCAAAGCCAGCCACTTGTGTTCACTTGGAGCCGCTATAGTGTGTGCTTGGGGTAGGCCAGTGGCTCAGCTTCTCCCTATTTTCTCTTTAAGTTTAAAGGAGTCTACTTATAACTAAGTATAGAATAAGCTGGGTTAAATCCTTGCTGGAACAAGGCAGGGTGTAAATAAATAAATAAAAGGTAGGGTAACTATGGAATAAGATGTATTTGGAAGCTAAGAGGAGCTATAAGGAGCTGAGACTTTAAGGGATTCACAGTTCCCAGATGCTGAGATCAGGTTTCAATCAGCCTGTTTATGCTCCTTGCATTTAAAAAGGGTTACATGGTCATTGCCTGGTATTACTTTTATTCCTTATTTATAGAGTCACAACAACGAGGCAGGAGTCAGCCTTGCTGGTCATGTTTAAATAGGAGCAGGGTGATTTCTCCAAGTCAGCCCGATAGTAGGAGCATTATCACTGAAGTTTGTCTTCCAGCTCTGAGTGCAGATTGTTTTTAATTTTGTTTTTGAGTTTAATATGTCTGTGGGTGTGGGCCAGAGACACATTACTCTCCACCTTGGTGTGCGTGTGCGCTTTCCCTGCATGTATTTTTGGTACCACTTGAGTGCCTGGTACGCACAGAGTTCAGAAGAAGGAGCTGGGTATTCTGGAACTGGAGTTACAGGTTTTTTGAGTCACCATGTAGGTGTTGGGAATCTCACCTGGCCTGTAGGAGAGCAGCCAGTTCTCTTAACCCATGGGCTGTCCCTCTGGCCCTGTCCTACCTATTTTAGAGACAGTGTTGTGCTGTGTGTGTGTGTGTGTGTGTGTGTGTGTGTGTGTGTGTGTGTGTTTTGAAACAGGGTCTCACTATACTAGTTCTGGCTGGCCTAGAAAGAGCCTCCTGAAATGGGTGTTGGGAATAAAAATTGGGCCTTTAATAGCAATACTGGATTTTAACCTTGAGCCATTTCTCCAGCACCCTGAATTCATGTTCTTAGGCTTTCATGGGAAACACTTTATCTGCTGAGGCATCTGGCCAGCTCCCAGATTCCTTATCTTTCCTACAGTATTAGAAAAGGAAGAAAACATTTACTTGTAGGTCTTTGTTTATTTGTTTGTTTATGTGAATTTTGCCTGCATGTACATCACATATTCACATGGTGCCTATAGAGGCCAGAAGACGGTGTCATTACCTGAACTGGAATTAGAGGCAGTTATGAGCCACCATGTGGGTGGTGGGTGCTGGGAATCAAACTTTGGGTCCTCAGTAAGAGTATTCATAGTGTTCTTAAATGCTGAGCCATCTCGCCAGCCCCTGCTTGTAAGTTTTATTTTACTTTAATTTATATACTTTTGGTGGGGGCAATAGAGAACCTATGTGTATTGTCTCTTGTGTTTGTGCTAGAAATCAAACCCAGGAATAGACACATGCTAAACAGTTGTTCTGCCATTGAGCTATATGACTAGCTCAACAGTCTATTTTAGGAGAACATATTAGGAATGACCATAGAATTTCTTGTCACATCAGGACCCTTTGAAAAGATACAAGAGGGTGGTGCTTTTCCTCCAAGTTATACTGATTGATTCTATTCCTTACACTCTGACTAACCTGCAAGATTGCCTTCATCTTCCTAGCCTCCTTCCAGTGAATCATAGAGTAGTTGTTCCCTTGCATTTTGGCACTATCTGCTGAAACCTGATAAGCCCCCTTAGCCCTGATCAGCTGGCCCCCATTTTCGAAAAGCTCCCAAGCCCTATGGCTACCTCTGTTCAACATCTGAAGTAGACATCCAAGGCACAGTCTACATTTAGTGGATTTGGCCCAGCTTCTTTCCTTTTCAGCTGAGAATTTCAGTAGGTACAGTTGAAGGAGTCAGAGAAGCAGATGTTGTGCACCAAAGTTGATCTGTATAATGAACAAAAGTCCAGGCAATAGATCTACAGAAATTTAAGGAAAGAGAACAGTGTGAACAACTATAGCCCTATCGTGCAAGCAGATACCTGAGCTACATAGGAAAACCTAGTCTCAGAGAAACAGGAGGTGTGGCACTTACTTGTATTCTCAGCACATGAGGGGGTGGGAAGGGGGATGACAGGAGGATCAGAAGTTCAAGGCCAACCAGCCTTAGCTTATAGCAAGTTCCAGTCAGCCTCCCTATCTGAAACTGTCTCAAAAAAGGAAGGAAGGAAGGAAGGAAGAGAGGGAGGAAAAAGCAAAGAAGGCCAGAGCATAGTGGTACACATCTTTAACCCCAGCACTCAGGAAACAAAGGCAGGTCGATTGCCAAGGCTGCACAGTCAGAAACTGTCTCAAGAAATAAAGGAAGGGGCTGGAGAGATGGCTCAGAAGTTAGGGGTACTGGCCTTTCTTCCAAAGGTCCTGAGTTCAATTTCCAGCAACCACATGGTAGCTCATAACCATCTATAATGGTGCCCTCTTCTGGCATGCAGGTGTACATGCAGGCAGAATATTGTATAAATAATAAATCTTAAAAAAGAAAGGGGGGGGGGAGGATGGCCTGAGGTCTAGATCATTAATGAAGCAGTTATATAGCATGTGTGAAATTCTGGATTTTGACCCCAGTGCTGTCTAAAACAAGTTCAGCTAATCTTCAATAATTTTTACATGTCTTTAGTAATATTTTTAGCTTTGTTTTTGTTTTTTTTTTTTTGTTTTTTTTTTTCCCAATTTGTAAAAAGTATATCTTAATCTTAAAAGGGATCAATGTGAACAGAGTATCAAAACAAAACAGAATTGAGCTGCGGAGATAGCTTAATGGATAAATTTTGTGGTGACAAGAGACTCCCTGAAAGCTCACTGTATAGGCTGACATGTACTGCACTTAAGGTCCTCTTACCTTCATATACTTCATGACTTAAGCACAACCAAATTTACATGCATGTAAACACATCATACACATATGAAAAAACAAAAATAGTGGGTACTTTTAATCCCAGTACTTGAGAAGGAGAGGCAAGAGGATCTTTGTGAGTTCAAAGTTAGCCTGTTTTATACAATGGGATCCTGTCTCACACAAAGGAAGGAAGGAAGGAAGGAAGGAAGGAAGGAAGGAAGGAAGGAAG